TTAATATTTTTATTTAATTTTATTAATATTTTAGTGCAAAATTTTTTTTTATTTATATTTATTTTTTTATATTGTTTATTTTTATTATTTTGTTATTTCATTAAGTTACAAACTGTAAACAATAAAGAATCAATTTTCCGTAACTCCAAACATGTTATTTTATTTTTTAAAGATTAATACCCTTTAAATTTTAAACATGGCCGACCTTGACTGTAATGGCCAACCTGGACTACAAATTTTTTTTTTTTTAAATCTTTATAACTTTTTCATTTTTAAACCTGTCAATTTACTTTGTACAGAAAAAATGTTCCTATTAAACAGGACTTTCCAACCATATACTTCAATTGTCCAAATTCATTTTTTAAAAAAAGTTATAAACAAAAGTCAAAAAGGTGGCCGACCTAGACTATGTTCCCCTACATTTTTCGAAGAATTTACTTAAAATTGTATTAAAATTAATCGAAATCCTGTGAAGAGTTTTATTATTTAGGAGAATAATTGAATTCTTGTCAAGAATTTTTATTATATTTTTTTTTAAATAATTGAAGTCTTGTGAAGAATTTTATTAATTATGAATATAGATGAATATTCTTGCAACGAAGTTTTATTAAATTTTTTTAAAATAATTGAAATCCTGTAAAAAATTGTATTATTTATTAAAATAATTGAATTTTTGCAACGCATTTAATTAATTGTATTGAAAATAATTGAAATCCTATGAAAAATTTTATTATTTATAAAAATAATTGAATTCTTAAAAATGAATTTTATTACATTTTTTTAAATAATTGTATTCATGTAAAAAATTTTATGACTTTTAAAAATAATTGAATTCTTACGAAGGATTTTATTAAAATTTTTGTAATTAATTTAATTTTTTTGAAAAATTTCATGGAAATTTAAATTATCATAAAACATGAAGATATCAATCATTCCGAGTCGACGACTCGGAGTGATTGATATCTTCAAGTTTTATAATAATATATATATATTCTTATAAGTTATTGAATTTCATAAAATTTTGAATTCGAAATTTTTTAAAAACCTTTATTCCTATGGAATAATAATAATGATTTTTAAATATTTATTTAAAAAATAATTTATTGGTGTTTTGAAATAATTTTGCAATTCAAACAATTCGTAATTAAATGTAATAGATCAGTTTTTTGAGTATCTAATCATTTTTGCAGTGAATCAGAATATTCTTTAGGGTCAGGGAAAAATTCAAAATTTTGTCTGGAAATCAGGGAAAAGTCAGGGAAATTCTGTAAGTTTTTTATTATTATAATATTTTAACATTTCTATTATGATTAGAGTCTAGTAATAAGCTTTGTTGCAATTTTTTTGCAAAATGCGTATTTAATTCTATAGTTTTGCACAAAAATTGCAACAAAGCTTATTACTAGACTCTAATCATAATAGAAATGTTAAAATAATATTAAAATATAAAACTTGCAGAATTTCCACGGAAATTCCATGGAATTTTTCGTCGTGGGTTCATTTTTGATATTAATTCGTTGAAATTTGATACTTTTAAGTTAACAGTGATTCGATTAAAGAAAGCCAATTCTGTCGCGAATAAAAATTCTTCCAAAAAAGAAATTCTGTCAAATTGAATTCTCGCACCGAAAAATTTTAACAAATAATCTTTCTGATTTATTCATACGTCTCATATTCCGGAGGTTAATTTCTTTCGAAAGCATAACTAAAAAAAAGTAGGTTTTGCTTTTTTTTCGTTATGTACATCAATATAATGCCATCGCGGATGCGTGGCACGTGCTCTACGTATATTAATTTCAAACAAGGAGGGGGAGACAAATATCGAGCTACGGAATTAAGCAGCTATTTTGTGGAAAAAAATGCAAAATCAGCATTTTCAAATAACAATCGCGCGCACTCTGTACGCTTCGAAAGTGAGCAACCAGTCAGCGAATTGGGTCTTCTATATCTACAAGACCAAGTAATGTGAATTGAAGCATCAAGGATTGAAAATCGATGTTTCATTTCTCATTCATCTGATGAAAGTTTGAGGGTAAAGAATAAGATGTGTCGAATTTTTTTTCCTTTATTTCAATATATTCTGTAATAGAGAACTTTCACTAGAGAAATGTCTGACACTGAAATCAAATCCGCTGTGTCGCCGACAGCAGACAGGAAGAGGGGAAACTTTCGAAATACTGTGCGTCGTGAATGTAAACTATCGTAGTTATCTATATTATTATTATTATTATTATTATTTATTTCTGCTTTTAAAAATTATACATTTTGTAGCAGGAATTTCCGCTTATACAATTATTATTTGGTAATTCATTAACTCTCTAAACTCTAATTAGTTTCAATTTAGTTAATTTAGATTACTGACGATTGTAACCAATGAGAGGGAACGAGACGATGAAAGTTTCCAGGAAGTTTAAATTTTAATTTTTCAAGAATTACAACTTAGAATTTAAAAGGAAGAAATTTGATTTTTATTTATTTATTTCATCATTTTATTATTATTATTATTTTACTATTATTACATTATTCATAAATTTTTAATTTATGTAAGCAAATAATTGTTGGTATTTTTTTTTTAATATTTTATTTTGAGAATTGCACTTTTTTCCTAATTTTCCAATTTAGCAAATTTTGTATAATTGCGAATAAAGATATAATGAAAATAATTATTTTTTAACTAATTTATGAAGTAAATTTATAAACTAATTTATAAAATTAATAAATAACAAATAAAAATATAATAAATTATTAATACTGTAATAAATATTATTTATTTTATGTTTATATTTATAATGAGAAGAATTTATTACTCTTTGTTTTATCAAACACTCAAAATAGTTTGCTAATTAAAATTTATGAAAGTTTATATCGTATGGTTTATTGCAAAAGGATTTAGAATAGTTTATGTTTGCAGTATATTTATGAGAAGCAATCGAGTCCCGTTGATTCGCAATAAATTTTGAATTGAAATTTAAATTATCTACATGCCTATGAATGATAAATTTATGAAAACAAATTAATTTCTTATTTAAAAAGTAAGTTCTTATTTTAACCACTTGAAAATAAATAATTTTTGAAAATTACTATATTATAACTGCCCTAAAATTAATTTCTTGATTTTAATTTAATTATTTTCTAGAATTTTTTACTAAAATTCTTCTCAAAATCAAATATTTTTAATCATTTTTGATAAAAATTTTTTTTTCTTTTTTCATAGAGAATTTAATTGTTGAAAGAAATAATCGAAGTTCAATTAAATCTATTCAAAAATTCAACTAATTTTATATTGAATAAACTTTTAGGTCCGAGTTGATTTTAATTAAAATAGTAGGTAAAAAAAATTTTTACACGAATAAATTATTATTTAAAGTCTTCGTGTATTCTCATTATTGGTTTCTGTATTATTATTATTTTATTTATTGTTTAATGCTTCTTAATTATTATTTAACGTCTTAGTGTTTTTCGTATTTTTATTTTTGTTTTCTGTATTATTTTGTAGACTCCCTGAAGAGGAAATCATATTGATTTCGAAACGTTGGAGTAATTTTTATATTAAAAAACCACTTGTCCGAATGTATTCGTGTAAAAATTTTTTTTACCTACTATTCCAACTAATTTTAAAATAAATTTCAATGAAAACTATACAAAAAACCAACTTCTCAAGAATTTTGAACAAAAATTACCTAAAATTTTAAATTTTAAATTTAAATACCTTATTTTTCAGAATTTAAAAAAAATTTCGAAATTAAAAATTTCTAATAAAAATTTTTAAGAAATTTTTTTAATTTCCATTTGATTTCACAAAATTTTAATTATATATCTTTAAAAATCCCTAATATATACTACGGATTATTACAAAATTTACTCTGAAAATTTTCTACGAACTCTAAACATTGTAATCAATTTGCTATTAAAAATTCTTATTTTCAGAGTAAATTTTATTATTTTTGAAGTAAATTTTTCTAATTTTTATTAAAAAATTGACTTTTAAAATAGTAATATAAAAGTCATTTTGTGAAAATAATTATTTTTAATATTAAATTTGACTATTTTTAAAGGAACGAAATCCAAAATTGAAAAAATGAAAAAAGGTTATAAAAAAATTTGTTTTTCTCTCTTTCCAATGGAAATGAAGTTTTTAACACCTCTTTAAGTAAAAAATATATTATAAATTATTATAAAACATAAAGAAATCGATCACTCCGAGTCTTCGACTTGGAGCAATCAATATCTTCATGTTTTATAGCAAAATACTTTTATAAGTTGTTTAATTTCAAAAAGGTTTGAATTTGGAATTTTTGAATGTGTTAATTCCTGTGGAAAAATAATAATAATTAAATATTTATTTAAAAAAGAAATTATTGATGTTTTTGAATAATTTTACAATTAAAGAAATTCGTAAAAATGTAACGGAACATTTTTTTTGAGTAAAATTTTTTCCTAATTATTTTCTAAAAATTTAAAAATTTTCATTTTCAATGAAAATTTGTAATTGCCAAATAGAATTTATAAACATTTGTTTCGTTTACTATTTCTTAATCATAATTTTTTAACAAATTTTTTATTTTTTATAAATAAACAAGAGAAAAATTTGCATAATTTAGATCAGTCAAACGAAATTTGTTATAAAAAAAGCATATGACAAACAAAATGGGTATATTTTTTATTTGTTAATCATAATTTTTTTTCAATTTTCTAATTTGTAATATTTCTTTATTAGGAATCATGAAAAAATACCTGCTTATTTTCTCGATTTGTGAAAACAAATTTTTTTTAAAGAAAAGAAAACAAAAGAATACACAAAAACTAACTTCAGGTGTGGACAGAATGAAAGAATGAATTATAGGATTATTATAGTTAATAATAAAATTTATATTTATATAGCACAATAGAAAATTTGGTTCAAACATAATTTTCCCTTGAGTGTATATTTTGCAGTATTTGTCCGATTAAAATTGTGAGAATCATTGAATAGTTTACTGATTCAGTTTCAGAGTTACAAAAGTAAAAAAAATAGTAAGGGGGAGGATTTCGATGACAATCGGTTGCATCACATTGGAAATGCGATACGAAATGATTGCCAGATCAGAAAGATAAGTGACACTGCAGATCAAGTGGTATAGGTAGTGGAACTTCTTGGGACGAGTGGTGTATAGTATAGAAGGAGCTGAAAGAGGGTGATAGGAGGGAACTCGTGAACCTTCAAAAAAAGACGAGGGGTGTGGGGGTTTGGAAACGATAGCGACATGGATGGTGGCGACGGCAGTGGGCGAACGTTGTGGTTCGAAGGGATGAAACATCCGTGTGGAGGTGGTTTTCAGAAGGTTAGGTAGGGGTTGGTTGGTTGGATGGTTTGCGTGGTGGAAATGCGCGTCAGTCGAGGCCGCGAGGCTCAGTGTTTGAGAACGCGGCATCGCGATGCGTTCGGTTCGCCTCTCCTCGTGTCTTTTATCAAGTCCACGATTTTTCTCTCGTCCCCACATCATCCCCTCGCACATTGTCCCCCCAAAGGAATTACATTAACTAAATGAATCAATACTCGATTTAATCTCTCGTGGTGAAGGAAAGGAAAGGAAAAAAAAAATTCCGTTTGATGTTATTCTCTCGTTTTCGAAGTGATATGTAGTGTGTGGTGTGTAAATATTTCCGGAAAGTGACAATGGCACCGGATAGGGCCATGCGGTAAGTGTGAAAGAGAGGAGGTTCGAGATAAGGAATTCCAAATGGATCCGTATGGCTGGAATTCTCAAGGTCACATCGGAGCGCCACCTCCATCGAGATGTTGGGAGCGATCGTGCAGATCGACGGATCCATCGCCCATGCGGCCGATCGAGCACAGCATGCGATCCACGGAAGCAATGCGTTCCATGGAGTCGATGCGTTCAAATGATTCGATGAATCGTCAGCATGGCGATCCATCGATTCACTCGATGGAAATGATGAGGCCCAGTATGGAGCATCGTCAGTCGAGATCAATTGAGTCGATACGATCTATAGATCATGGCCGACCGACAATGGATCATCCTCGATCAATGGACCCGCCTAGCTCGTCGGCGAGCATGAGAAATCTCGATCACTATCAAATGCGTGCAATGGAACATCCCTGCCGGCTGATGGACCACGCGGGTCATATGCACGAGCACTATCTGAATCGTGGATATGATCATGGTTGTCATTCTGTGGAACATGTGCCGAGACTGATTGAACATAGGGGACATGAGACTTATCCGGGAAGACCAGCTCCTCACTGCGGTGAGCCTCCCATGTGTCGATCACTTGATCATGGAGTTAGGGCTATAAATTATTCATGTAGATCGTTGGATCACGCTCCTGGAAGGCCTCTACCAATGGATTCTGTCATCTTTGCTCCACACTCACATCCAACACCCAGATTGCCTGCTGAAAGTCCGTATCGGTTGAATTGCCCTGTACACAGTCCGTTTCGATTTAGGTTTCCCAATGGTGATTTTCACTCTCATCAGGTGGGCATTTTTTTCCTTTCCTTTTTTCCGGAGAAAACGATACAAAAATCCAAGGGATTAGTTTGCCTTATCACAGTTTTTCTAAGGATATCAAATTGAGACAAAAATCAATTTGAATCAATTTTTTTTTTTGTCTCAATTTGAAATCCTTAGAAAAACTGTGTATTGGAAAAATATATGAAACGCAAAAAGAACGATGTTAAAATAAATAATTAAAGAAGCTCTTCAAATCTGAATTAGTAACTTTTGATTTATGAAACAGCAGCTAATCTAGAGCTGACAAATTTCAGGGAAATACAAGAATTATCTTGGTAAAGTCCGCGATAATAAAATTGGTCATGAAAAAATCAGGGAATTTTATCAAAATTATTGGAAATTCTAGAATTCATAAGAAAATTCTAAATTTTGTTGTCCTACAGCATTTAAAAAAAAGAAAATTTTTAATTTAACATTTAATTCTTTCTATTTCTAACAATAATTGAACTATATTAACTATATTAATCTCCGTATTCTTTCATTCATTCTGTCCGCAGTTTGAAGTTAGTATCTGTGCGTATGCTTTTGTTTTTTTTTTTTTTTTTCTTTAAAAAATATTGTTATTGAGAAATCGAAAATATGCAGATATTTTTTCATGATTTGTAAATAAAATAATATTACAAATTAGAAAATTGAAAAAAAATTATGATTAACAAATAAAAAATATACCCATTTTGTTTGTCATATGCTTTTTTCTATAACAAATTTCGTTTGACTGATCTAAATTATTATGCAAATTATTCTCCTTTTTATTTATAAAAAATACTGGAAAATTGTTAATTGTTGAAAATTTTAATTACAGGGTTGCCACGCAACCTGGAAACCTGGAAATGTCAGGGAATTTTTATAAACCTTGAAAAAACCTGGAAAAGTCAGGGAATTTTGATTGGAATCCTGGAAAATTATTGTTTTCTAAATTTATTGTGCTTATTCTTGAAATCTAATTTTTCTTTAATTCAATTTTCTTAATTCAAATTTCTTAATTCAATTTTAAAAGAGTTGCCTTTACAATTTTTCTTCGCAATAATTCAATTATTTTCATAAATAATCAAAAAATTTATAGATTTACAATTATTTTCATAAATAATAAAACTCATCACAAAATTTCAATTATTTTTAATACAATTTTAATGGAATTTTTCGAAAAATGTATAATTATTTTTAAAAATTTTATTCAAATTCATCAAAGAAATTCAATTATTTTCAAAATTAATAAAATTCTTCGCAGAAATTCAATTGTGGTCAAAAGTTTAAAAAAAGTTACAGTCAAAATTTCAATTATTTTTATAAATATTAAAATATTTCTCTAAAATTCAATTATTTTAAAAAAATTTTAATGAAATTCTTGGCAATATTTCAATTATTTAAAAAAATTTTTATAAAATTCTTGACAAAATTTCAATTATTTTCAAAAACTTTTCTCAATTCAATGGAATTTTTTTCAGAGATTCAATTATTTTTGATACATTTTTAATCTAATTTCTCGAAAAATGAAATTATTCTTAAAAATTTTATTGAAATTCGTCAAAAGAATTTTAATTACCTATTTAAAAATTTGTTGATAAAATTCTTTAAAAGAGAGTTGAATTTTAAAAAACATTGAATTCTCCAATAAATTATTTTTTTTTGTATTTAAATAATTGAATTGTTGTAGAATTTTCTAATAATAATTGATTGAAATATCAGTTTCAGGTAAAACTTTAAATAATAATTGAGTTTTGAAAAGGTTTCAAATTATAATCTTTGAATGTTTGAATTTTTCATACTTTTAACTTAAAATTGTGTAGATTTAATTTTTTTGTAAAAGTTGAATTGAATTTTTTTGAAGTTATTTCAAGTTTTTATTTTCTAATATATATTTGATTGAAGAATTTCCGAATACCTGAATAATCGATGAAATTTCGTAAAATTGAATTGTAAACAAAAGGATTTGAAAATGTTAAAAGAAATTTTTCAGAAATTATTAATAATAATTAATTTACACTTTATAAAGAAGAATTTTAGTTAAAAATTGTGGAAAACAATAATTGAATTAAAATAATGAAAGTAATTTTGAATAAGTTACAGTAACAATATTCTTATAATAGGTAAAAAATGATGATTTTATCAGTCCAACATTTTTAATTATTATAAAACATGAAGATATCGATTGCTCCGAGTCGAAGACTCGGAGTGATCGATATTTTCATGTTTTATAACAATTTTTTATAAGTTGTTTAATTTCAAAAAGGTTAGAATTAAAAATTTTGGAAAATATAAATGTTGTTTTAAAAACCTGGAAAAATTCCGTTTTTTAACCTGGAAAAGTCAGGGAATTTGAAATCAGTAAAAGCGTGGCAACCCTGTAATTAAGAGGTAGGAAATATGATATTTGGACAAGAAGTCCAAACCAAAAAATCCAAAGTAAATGAAATCCCAAAAAGTAAAAAAAAAATAGTTTCACTTTGGACTTATTTTTTGGATTTTTTGTCCTGATCAAAAAAGTGCAAAGAAATTAAAAATCTAATGAAAAAAATTCAGAAAAAAAAATTTAAATGGCTGCCTTAAATGAAAGTTTCTTTTTTTTGAGTTGCTCATTTCGATGACTTTGAATCGAATGTAGGTAAACCACTTTAAATTTCTGAAAATAATTAAATTAATCGAGTAATTTAATTGGAATTATATTTAAAAAAAGATAATTGAATTTTTGTAAAGAATATTATCAAAATTAATGAAATTTTTCTAGAAATTTTTTTATTTATGAAAATAATTGAATTTTTGTGAAGAGTTTTATTATTTATGCGAATAATTAAAATCCTGCGATTTTAATATTAACATTTTAAATTCCGATTTTATAGCGTAAAAAGTAAAAACGTGGCTTCTTCACATGTTTCATTATTTGTTTTGGACGTTTTTATTTATTTTGGATTTTTTGTACTTCGGACTTTTTTTCTTGGATTTTTCGGTCTAGATTTTTTGGATCGAATTTTTTGTCCTGTAATCATTTATGAAAATTGTAAACACAACTCTTTTAAAATTGAATTAATTTTGAAATATTTAAGTAAAATTATTCATTAAATAATTTATTTATTTTATGATAGTTGTTCAAGATTTAAGTTATTTAAAAAGAAATTTTTGTCAGAAATTGAAAAAATTAAAGATTTTGTATTAGAATTGATGGTAATTTTATAGTTAATGAGTCAAACAAAAAAACACAAAAATTCAAAATTTTCTTATGAATTCTAAAAATTTAATTTATATTTAGTACTTTTAATAAAAATTCCTGACTTTTCCCTAAATTCCCTGTGTCAGAATATATGATTATTTTAATTTTAATAATAATAATATTTAAACTATATATTTCGAATCATATTTTATTTTTATACAAAAAAATTTGAATTAAAAATTTTTAGATTCTATTATTTTTAAAATAATTCTTCGGATGAATTCAATTATTGTTTTAAATACAATTTTAATAAAATTTCTCGAAAGAATTCAATTATTTTAATAAATTTTAACAAAGTTCTACATAAGAATGGAATCATTTTCAAAACAATTTTTATCAAATTCAACGAGAACGTTTGCAAAAAATCAATTATTTTCATGAATAATAAAATTCTTCGCAGGAATTCAATTATTTTTATAAATAACAAAATTCTTTACAGGAATTTTTAATTATTTTCAAAATTTTTTTATAAAATTCACTATATAAGAAGTCAATACAATTGTAATTCAATTTCTCGAAAGAATTTAATTATTTTCAAAAATTCACATGAAATTCTTCAAATCAATTTAGTTTTTTTTTAAAAAAAATTGCAATAAAATTTTATGCAAGAATTAAATTTGTTGAATTTTTATCTACATATTTAATGGAAAAATTTTTAAATTGTCGAAATTTCATAAAATTGTATTGTAAGTAAGTGAATTTCAGAAAGAATTTAAGTAAATTTTTTTAATTAATAAATAATTCAATTCTAAAGTAAATTTCTCAGAAACTATTAAAATTAATTAATTTAGAGAAGAATTTTAGTTAAAAATTCAAGAATTAAAATTGAATTAAATTCTTGAAAGTAATTTTAAGAAAGTTAGAGTAAAAAATATTTCATCAATCGAGTAATTTTTTAAAATACTTTAACGAAATAAATACATTCTTAGGAAGTTTAAAATTTTTATATTATTATATAGTTATTTTATATTATATATATAGTTATGTATTTATTTTATTTTTTTTTAATAAAGATTAATTGTGTTTCATATCTACTTGAAAGTTTTATTTCTCAATATATATGATACATGAGAGAAAGATGGAAGATTTTAATTTTTAATAAACTGAGTTTTACGATGGGGGAAATTGCTGTTGGACAGAATTCTTCTTTTTGGAAGAAACTGAATTTCATGATATATTGTTATTTACGACAGTAATATAATAATAATTGTTGAAATTTTTACGAATATAATTGAAAATATGGACAATTTTTATTAATTTAGTAAATTTTTTATTTAAAATACATATTTATGGCTTATTAGACATAATTGTGTTCATTATAAAAGATCGATAAAATTATTATGTATCTAAGCATAAAAAGTATTACAAATTACAGTTCATTTGATTTAAGTAAAAATTATTTTTAAGGATAGTATTTTTTGACGTTTGATGAATCAATTTTTTTTTTAAATAAATCGTTTTCTTTTTTTTCTTTTTTTGTTAAAACAGAGATTTTAGTATCAAATCAATTAATTTTTGTATAATGAAGAAAAAATAATTTATTTATCCTTTTAGTTTCAGTTTCAAATTAAAAATTAAAATATTATTTACCGTCATGCATAAGGTAACTTAAAAAAATTAGATTCAATTATCAGGATGAGTATGATTAAAAAAACGAAAGTTTCTTTTTGTGTAAAATTTTTATGACAAATTATTTTAATTGAATATTTCATTTAAAAAAATAGTTAGATACTTCTTCCACAGAGTAATTAAAAAAATGTTTTCATTTTTATTTTGAAAGAAAAAAAAATTCTCAATTTTTGTAAAAATAGAAGAAGTGATGTGTAAATAAAATAAGAAAAAAAATAATAAAAAGAAAATTGAAATAATTTTAAAAATTTAAGAGAATTATAGAAAATTTAAAAAAAGGTTATACAAATTATACAAAAGTTGTTTAAAAAAAATATTTTTTGAATAAAAAGTTTCTTAAACAGTTTAAGTTTTTTTTTAAAGAATATGGCATTGCTTTTAGTATTAAACTTGTTACAATTATTGATAATTAAACAATTTGTTTGATAGTTTGTTATAGTCATTAAATGGTTTCAATTATTCGTAGTTATACTATATCGTTGGAAGTTAAAATCGATAATTGTTTCAATCAATAGCACTTACAATCATGGGCATTTGATAGCTGGTACAATCAATCATCTTTACAATCGTCGACAATTAAATATCGATTATAAAAAAATTTTTTTAAAAATATTATGAAATAGTATTGCAATTGTAATTTGAAAAAAATAATTTTAATTATTTCCTATTAAATTATTATTCTTATATTGTTTCTACTGTGTTATAAATAATAATATTAAAGGTGTTTCATCCTACAGAATGCAGACCCCTTAAGTTAAATAACATTTAAATAAATAATTAAAATATTATTATTAACAATATTTTCTTGAAAAACAACAGTATTATTTTTCAAGATAAAAAATTGATAATTAAAAAATTTATTTATTTATAATTTTCACATAAGATCCAAATTTTTTGTCATATCGCTTTTATAGAACTTTTTAAAAATAGTTCGATTTTAATATAATATTTTTGTAGGTAAGTTAAAAAATTTTTTAGTATCAGTAAAGTTTTTCTGTCTAATTAAGAGGATTTTCCTCTTTTATATTTGCTATTAAATGTCATTTTTTAACATTTTGAAGATGCGTGCAGAAAGACAAAAAATAACTTAAAAAATCTTTTTTCTAATATAAATTTTTTTTTATTTTTAAAGGAATAATTTTAATCAAAGAAGAAAGATTGAAAATAATCTTAAAATTTTGTGTGAAATTATAATTAGAAGTCTATCAATTACAATTCTGAAACTATTTATAATTAAAAATTTATAAGTTTAAAAAAATATAATTATAACTTATAATAATAATTCTAAAATAAAGTATTTTCTTTTGTTTCTGTTTCAGGTGAGTTAAACAACATATTTTCTGTCGAGTTTATTTCGTAAGTAAATATATATTTAAATATATTAAATATTAAATTATCCCATATTATAAGTAAAAGACGATAATTCGTTTTCCAAAAATTTCGTTTTAAATATTTTCAAGCGAATATTTATAAGCTTTGGTAATCAATTAATAGCAATAAATTATTTTTAAATTATTTTAAGCATTTTCTAAGTTTGAACTAAATTTTTCATATATTAATTTTATATTTTCAAATAGTTTTGAAAATTTTTTTTATAGAAATCTTTTTTATACTCATTAAAAGAAGTGAGGAATTATAAAAATATCAGAGAGGAAATAATTTGAGAACATGCAAATTTAGTTCTATCCAAAGCTGTAATTTTTGGAACGAGAGAAATATTCAGTTTCGTCTAAATAATTGCATATGCCGCTCTTATTTGTCTATAGTAAATATTTAGAATGATATACATATGCAACGCAGTTTAAAATAGACTTTTAATTAACTAAAAATCTTGTTTGAATCAGTGTGTCATGGTCAACATGAATTTTTGTGTTTGATTAAGAGAACGGTTGAATTTAATTGGACATCTTTTTTTTTATATTGGGGAAAGTTTGTTGTTCAGAATAACAATCATTATAACTAATTGATTAAAAAAAAGAGCTATGTGTGTATCCTTTTTGTGAAAAACTTCTTTTCTAATTTCATTCCATTATTAATTAATTTCGATAGCAAAAGATATCATGTTCCTGATTTATTCTCTCAAATTTCCAATATTGTAATTAGTACCTATATATATAGTATCCAAACTCATCATATAGTTCAAATTTTTTTTTCCAGTCTCTTTCTCCTATATTTTTTTTTTTGGTAAAGAGAATTCACTTCATTAATTGGAAATACGGTTCAATTGAGTATTATCGATAAAATTTTGTCTATAGACTTTCTGTGAAAATTCTATTAAAGAAGAAAAAAAGTATTTTTAAGTTAAAAATTTAATAAATATTTTCTGTTTCTGAAAATTTTTAATAAAATACTGTGTTTATGATCTTTTGTCTACAAACTTCTGTAGTTTGTTGACAAAAAGAAATTTTCTTAAATTTAATAAATATTTTTTATATTAAAATACTTGAGAAAATACCTTTTTTTATTTTTATATTTTTCTGGAAGGGAAAAATCAGTAAATTATTATTCGATTTTATCGAGAGAATGCATGATATCAGAAATTATAATTTTAAAAAATGACTCGTTTTAATTAACATGATATTCACAGTAAAAAGTAAATCTTAATTTAAGAGCTGCCTTAAATTCAACACTGTCTGCTATAATGTTAAAGGATACGAAAAACATGCGTAAATTCAACATTGACTGTCTTAAAAATGTTGCATCTTAATTTAAGGCAGCTTTCGTGCCTTAAAATAAGATTTTCTTTTTACTGTGTTGGTTTATAAAAAATTAGTGGATTTTATTGGTAGTAAAATGGAACATTTATTACGAAAATTATTATTATGTTAGGATTCTTTTAGTAGCTTTTGTTTGAGTTATAACTTTTTTCCGTGAAAAAAAAAAGATTTTCCCGCACTTGTAAATAATGGGTCAAACAGTTTATAATTTTTCAATTTAAATTCATAATAAACGCGTAAAATATGATTATTGATGTGTATTATTTTTCCATTTAGTGAATTTTCCAAAAGTACACTCATAATTTCATATTATACAGATAAAATTTTTAATCTGTGAATTTTACTTCATACTATTTATCATCAAATATCGTGAGACATTTTGCGAAATTTATTATTTTTTTATCACTTTTTTTTTGCTCATTACGCTTGGTAAAATGTTAAAAATTTAATATTTCTCCTTTTCGTAGATATTTATCATAAATGAGATTTATTTGTTAACAAATTTTTTTATTTTTTATTTCGTTCTTTTTTTGTTAGTTTGAAAGTAGAAAATTATTTTTTGGCATTAGTTCTGTAGTAAATTTTTTCAGATAGAAATAATACAATTAAAAAGTAACTTTCATAGAGAAAATAAATGTTTTTGATTTTTTTCTGACAGAATGTAATTAGAGAAAAATTGATTTCTCTTTTTGAAAGAGATATTTACTATTGTAAATGACTTTTCTTTCCCGTGTTTCTGAAATGCTTTTTCCGTTAATGGTTCAGATTGTATGAAAGCGCGTAACATTACCAGGAAACGTTACACGTTTCAACTGAAATTCTTTTGTATTTTCAGAGACATTCCCTTTAAGGGTTATTTCAACTTAAAACCATCCTTTCAATTCCATTCAAGTATTAAGAGAAAATTACGTGCAATTCTCTTATTCTTAAACGTACAAAACAAAACAAGGAAAGAAATAAATAAAAAAAAATTGATATCTTCTTTCTTCTTAATCCACATGTAACGGAAAACAACCGATTAGACTCTTTTCCAGTCTAATGAAGTGAATTAGATATTTCAATTTCTATATTGCTTTTTAAAATAAAATTTTTAGCTTAGAAAGTTAATTTCTTTTTTGGATTATATTTTTTAAATCACATTGAAAAATCAAGAGGCATAGGACAAATAAGGTGTTAAAACTTTTAATCGGTTAACAGTTTTTTTATTTAGTGGTAAGAAAAAATGAATTACACTTTTAGAATTATGGATAAATAAAATATTTTTCCTTTATCCAAAACAATTATTATTGTGATTAATTATTACAATTATTAAACAATTATAGTAATAAAAATCCAACATGTCACGTATTGGTTAGATGAATTAATAAAAATATTCATAACTAATTCTTGAAAATCTTTGTAAAAACAATAAAAACATGAACGCCCAAAATAACTATTTGAAAGAAATGTTTCAGGTGGTTGTTGTTTACGACTTGTAGTCTATTTATGCACCTTGTATTTGTTATACAATCAAAGATTTGATAATAATTTACATAATAAATAATTATAATTTAAAAGTACATAGTTTAATTTTCATTAATTTTATTATTAATAATACTATTAACACTATTATAGTATGTTTATAATGATGTTATATTATTATCATTTACAAAAGAATTAAAATTTCAGAATTTCTTACCTCTTAAGCCAGTGATATTTGTTCAACTATTGATATGCAGCTTAAGTCAAACGTTGTATTAAAAAAATAATTCGTATTGTTAAAAAATTATGTTAAATTTTTTACGATTTTGTTTTATTTAAAAAACTGTTCAAAAGAGTATAATTTTTTATAGCATAGATTACGTGACTTAGCGATAATATTTATTTGCAACTTATTTTTTTCGCAAAATTATCAAAACACATTAAATTAAAAGAATTTGAAGGATAAATAAATAAATTTTCTTTTTGTGAAAAATTTAGAAATTTAGGAAAATGGAAAATAATTGAAATTCTTTAAAGATAAGGAGGAAGAAAATTGATTATAAGATACACAGGCTGACAAAACTTTTCTTCTTCTTTAAAAAGGCTTTTAAAACTTGAAGAAATCTTTATCTGGTTCGGCTAAGTGCATTGATATACAATTGAATTGTCTTTGGAGAATTTGCCACTGACTTTTAAACGAATCTGCTGAATTTATTAACATTTTAGTCGTTATGTTTTATTCTACATTTTTAAAATCTGATATCACATTAAAAATGTTTTTATGGAGAAAAATTGTACTTTTTGTTGATGTTTACGAACTTGTAAAATTATGTATTTATTAGTTTATTTATTTCATTATTAATTCTGAAATCTAGAAACAATTTAGTAGATAATGAAAATATTTACTGTAGAAGCATTTTAGTAGTAAACTTTTCAAATCAAATGAATATTATTTTGTTTTTACAAAAGGCAAAAAGATGTAAAACAAAATATAAACAAGCTAATGATTTTCAGTTTGGCTTTTTGTTCACATTCGACTAATTTAAAATTAATGCTTTTGCCCGACACCAAGCGAATGGGTTTAATTTTGATTAAAATAAATTTACACTTGACAATTGCGTTATTATTATTCTTCCAAATATGGGTTTATAATTCTATATAATCAGTTTGAATTGTTGAAATACAATTGCAGCAACAGGGAAATAATTAAAATCGTACGTAGTTATAAATGGCCATTATTTAATAAAAAAAAAAAAATTAACGTATACCCGAATCAAGCTTTTCATTTATTGTCTCTGTAAAATAACATTTTACTGTTCATATCATCATTATTATTATTATCATCATTTTACCGTTATTTAATTATTCATTTATTATCATCTAAAGCAATCAATAGATTTTTAACAATAATAATCGACATCATGATCATCATCATGTTTATTAAAATAAAAAATAATAATTTCTTTTTGTATATTATCTAAGTAAAAATTTTTATTGATTTTTTTAAATTAATTATAAAAAGTATTATATAAAGGAATAGAATATTAGGTGTTAAGTTTTGGATTATAATGTTAATGAAAATTTTGTAACTCATGGCTAGAGTAGATATTAAACTGAGGGTGAATTAAACAATAAGGGAGATTTAAAGTGGCTTATAGCATCTGCGCAATCGTAAATAATTTGTTCAACTCTTTAAGCCCAGATTTACTCTACTCCCTACTCTTTTATGTTATAATTTAAGTTCATTCTTAATTCCCTATTTTATAATGTCAATACAATTTTGTGTATTTAATTCATTTCTATTAAATCTAACATAAACTTCGTTTTTCCTCGAGTAAAAGTTTCTCTCATTCTTCGAAATAAATGTTTCTACTGATTTATAAATTACATTCAGTAATATAAAGTTTTCAAATAAATATATTAGGAATTTTGGCAAAACTATTATTTTTATTATTTAATTATTTTTCATTAATTATCAATTATTATTATTATACGTTCTCAGGGTGTCTGCAACTAGTTTTACTAAAAATTTGTAAAATTAATTGTGGGCATTAAAAATATTGTTCAAGAGTATTTCAAGTCATGATGAAAAAAATTCCCTGACATTTACAGATTTTCCAGGACATTTTTAATTTCCCTGACATTTCCCGGTTTTCCAGGTTTTGTAGGTTTTTTTGTTAAGAACTTCTTAACGAAAATATAAATTTAAAAAATTAAATTCCAAATTTGAAAACATTTGATTTTTTAAAATTAAAAAATAGTAATAATACCTAATAATAATAATAATTATTATTATTGTTTTCATAATTTGGAATAATTGAAAAACTTGTTGAATAATTATTTGTTTTTAATTATTTTGTGCATTTGATTGTTGAGATTTATTATTATTGTGAGACAACAAAAGTTTCATTATGAGAATTATGTTTGTGATTTCCGTTTAAGATATTAATCTGGGGTGCTTTGTAAGTGGTCTTATCTCGAAATCACTGACTTTTCGACATACATATACGTTAATGAACAATTTCATGCAATAAATCATTTCGATAAAATCTTATTAACATTCAAGATGAATGTTTGAAACTGGAATTAAATTGAAAGCGTTTAAATTAATAAAGTTTAGAGAAAAGTGAAGCAAGTAATTACTAGAAAATTAATGTTATTTATTATAGTTATTATAATGATTTTTATTGTTTAGTAACATTATCAGCCCGCATAAATGTGTACATAAATAAATAAATAAATTACAATCTATTTATTTTTATTATAAAACAAAATTATTATTATTATTATTATTATTAATATTATTTTTAAAAAATAAAGATGAAATAAATACTAAAATAAGAAATAAAATATATATAAATAAATAATAAAATAATTTAAATAAAAATAATCATATTTTATTGACAGAATATTTACCCTGTAAATTAAATTAATTAAAGAACCAATTTTTATTTTTATGAAATATTAAAATAACTTTTAGTTTATAGTTAATTTATTTAAAAATTTTGAGATCATTATACATATTTTTAGTTTTCATAATAATAATTTTTGATTTTATCATTTATTTCTTCTGTCACATCATCTTGTCATAAATTTCAAAAAAATTTTCTTTGCTTTTCATTTAATACACCAACAAATCGAATATAGTCTCTTATCAAAGAAGAAAAAAAAATTTTATACTAACATATAAAAATCACATAAAACTCGATAAACGCATAATACTTTGTACGTATTAAAAAAATTTTACGGTCTATTTCCGGTAAAAACTGTATGTGCATGTTTTCGTACAAGTATCAAGTATAATAGTGATCGTTTTGAAAGCGATTTTGTGTGTTTTGCACATGCAGTGAAACATCGTTTCTTATCAAAGGGGATAAAAAAATATTTAAGACGACATTCTGCAAAAAAAAAAAAAAATTTCAAAAATGCTGAACATTCAAGAAATTTGATAGTTTTATGCTTTCATGAAATTTCGGTTTTAAAAATAGAATTAATATCGAGCCAAGAATCCTGTAAGCGGGAGAAAGAAATTTTTCAAAATGAATAAAAATAATTCGGAATTCCTGTTGTTTTGATAATTATTTTATATGAAATAATAAATATTTATGTTATTTTTATATTTCAATTACTATAATATGAGAACTTAATAATGCTCTAATAAAAAATACTGTAAAAAATTTAATTTTGCTTCCTCATGAGGAAGCTTTGCATTGGTGACGATTTTCAATTTTTCAAAACAAGGTTATATGGACTCATTTTCATCTAGAACATATGTATATTCAATTATGAGCAAATGTCCAGATGTATGTGTGTATGTATGTGTGTATGTGTGTGTGTATGTGTGTATGTGTGTGTGTGTGTGTATGTCACAAAAATTGTGTACAAATTATCTCAGACAAATTTTGATGGATTGTCCTGAAATTTTGCAGGTTTATTGCAGTCATTAATACCTGAAATCTGACACAAGGATTTTCAAAAATATGTACAAAATTTTTTTTTATACAATTTTTTTAAAATTCAGAAAATTTTTTTTTTTGTATTTTCTGAAATAATTTTTTTATTTGTTAATATTTTTATTAATTATTCTCAAAATTACATTCCTGGCAAGAAAACGAATCGATTGATGTATACAAAGTATATATTTTATCAAAATTTATAAAATTAATAAATATTTTTCTTTTTCACAAAAAATTCAAATTTGGTATTTTTTTCATAATTAATTTAATATTAATATTAATATTTTGAAATGATTATTCTATCATAAAATAGAAGCAATTGGCAAATGAAAGTGTAAATTTCACCAAATATTTATACAACAACTTATAAATGATTTATATAATTTTATTTTTAACCAATCTTCTGGACGAACCCTTTTGTACATAATTTTTCAAAAGTTTGCAATACCGCAATTTTTATATATTGAGGAAGCTTAATGGTCATAAAATGAACAACTTGTTTAGAATTCATAAGAAAATTTTGAATTTTTATTGTTTGCCTCATAAACTATGAATCCAGGGTTGCCACAGGTCAAGGAAAAGTCAGGGAAAATAGAATTGGTCAGGGAAATCAGGGAAAAGTCAGGGATTTTGATTAAAATTACTGGAAAAAATTAAATTTTTAGAATTAGTAAGAAAATTCTAAAAATTTGTGTCTTTTTTTAAAAAATCTTTAATTTCAAAATTGTTGAAATTAGTTTCAATTTAAAAATTTGTAACGCAATTATTTGAAAGAATTCAATTATCTTAATAAATATTAAACTTCTTTCCAGAAATTCAATTATTTTCAAAAATGTTTAACAAATTCTCGTCAACATTTTAATTATCTTTATAAATAGCAAAATTCATTGTAAAATTCAATTATTTTCATAGATAACAATATTCATCACAAGAATTCAATTATTTTCAAAATTAATAAAATTCTTCTCAGAAATTCAATTATTTTAAAACCGTCAAAAAAAATTGTCAACATTTAAATTACTTATCTTTATAAATAAATAGCAAAATTCTTCGACAAAATTCAATTATTTTCAGGAATTTTGATAAAATTCATTGCAAAATTCAATTACTTTCATAAATAATAGTATTCGTCACAAGAATTCAATTATTTTTAAAAGTAATAAAATTCAATTATTCTCAAAAATTTTAATAAAATTCATGGCAAAATATCAATTATTTAAAAAAACTTTTATTATTTCAATGATTTTTCGATACCGCCAACTGGGACTATTTTGTGCACGCGAGTTTTTTAATGAATACAATTATTA